TTCGGCCGACTACGAAGCATCCAGCTACACGCGAGAAAAAACCTCTCGTATCCAGGGTAATTGATTGGTTAATTGAGTCAGTCAAGAGTAGTGGGTCACTACAGGCCTTTTGAATAAGTTGGTCACGTGATCAACTTTCGGTAAAAGCGAAAACAGTTTGCTTTTGAAAAAAATTGTTAGACGAGCTGAAAGAGCATATTAAAATAGGGTAGCCTGTAAATTTTCAGCCGTATTTGTATGACAAACAACTTTTGCCACCCAGTCACGTTTGAATGGTTTCCCATACAATCTTGTAAATTTCGAAATTTTCAAACTGTCATGAAATATTTCCTTAAGCATTACGGGGCTCAAATCTCCTTTTAATTCATAAAAGGCCCTTTGAGCCCTTAAATGTGTAAGAGAAAGATTTAACGACAGTTTAAAATTTTCAGATTTACAAGGAGTTGTATGGAAAACCACTGAAGCGTAACTGGCTGAGTTATTTTTCTCATACAGATCCTTCTAATTTGATCGAATTTAACGCCCCGACGGGCAAATAATACTTTGATTTGCATGTGGTACCGAAGTCGCTTTAGACGCACAGCAAGCTAGAGTCGGCAGTTACCTCCAAATAGAAAAATGGAAGCAATTTTTCGTGGCACTTTATTCACTACTCCTGAATGTATAGAGAAAAAAACTATGTCGATGAAGGAGGATTTATACCTCCATTTATTGGCGAATCGGCAAAGAGCTGCCAAACACATATAAAATCTCTCGTCTTCGTCTAGATTCATTACTAAAACGTTTTGGATCGAGACCTTGATGATGCCTCCACATCTGGAGAATGAAAAAGCGTCCACGTACGTTTTACGTGATGCCCTCACTCAGGAGTGAATACCCAGGATAATAAGAAAACCAATCGTGATAATTATTACTCTGCTTAGGTACACCTTTCACTGTGTGAAACAGAGACCATTTGGTTGCTGGACTTTCCTGGAACATGTGTTGCTGAAGATAGTGAGATTGCTGATGGGATAAAGGAAAAGAACCAAAGATATGACGAGGTATGTTTAGTAAATCAGTTATGAAAAATGGGGGAAAATCTGACTTTCTCTTACGAAAAACTCCGACTTTTCATTTGCATCTGACACTTTTATCTTTTGAGTAGCTTACACACATTTTATACCTCGATGACTTAATTAGACTGAAATTCACAATATTAGCACTAAAATTTTTAAACATTGGTGATAACAATTACATAAACATTACCTTTTGGTCTAGAGATTTGGATTGTACACCTACAGTACGGCAAAACATCTTTTCAAATCGTTAGTCTGCCATTTTAGAAACTTGTTCAACATCAGAACGTATCTTTACAAAGAATCAGCTGCCACAGTTGTATACGCTTGTGTAACTTCTAAATTGGATTACTGTAACTCTATTTTTGCGTTCGAGGTACGAGAACGCAACCCCTAATTTGTCAACCCACAAGACACGCAATAGCCCACAGGACACGTTTCGAGCTAAACATTGACCACGAACGAGCATTCAAACTAGTACATTCAGGAGAAGACCATTTTGAAGTAACCGAGGGCTAAAGGATGGTACAATGGTTCAAAATTCTCCCAAACATATCACTTTTTCGGCTGTAAAAATATTCATCGATGATTACTTCATAACTTTATTATTATTATTATTATTATTATTATTATTATTATTATTATTATTATTATTATTATTATTATTACAGTATACTTACGGTATTCATTCTTTTACCTGCCAAAAATCAGAGAAAATCAGTGTACCTATACACTGTACTTTGAAAAATTCCATATTCTCTAATTGTCAACAGAATAATAGCAAGTGTAAAATTCACGATAAAAAGACTGAGTACTACTACTACTGTTGATCACGTCTTGTGTATTCAGAACACGTTATCGCTTGCTATTGTCCTTGTCACGTCTCTCTAGCTTCTGAAAAACCGTGTTGGTAATGACAGTTACGTGGAAAGAGGAATGCAGACATTCAACAACGGTCAGAAGAATAAAGAAATACAATCCATCAAAGTAGAATTACATGTAAGTACAAATAAAAATCAGTTTGATGGCAAATTTTGTAAACGTGGGTTTGTATCTTAGGATGTAATGGAGATGGTCCTTTCAAGCTCATCGTTTATGATGCGGATGAGACATGAATATGGCAATGAACTTTTATTCCTAGCTCTTTAATTTGCTGAATCCAAAAACGGATGTTGAGTCCCTTGACTTAAATCTAATCTTGAAGTTCCCAAAAAATAGCACGCTCAGATTCCAAATGTCTTTGAAGTCAACGTGGTTGTGGATAATGACGGAATTTTTATTGGAGCCGCCAAGTGGCAGACGGGGTAGTTTTTCCCTTAAGCCATTATCCACCAAGGTTGAAAAGCATAGGTTATAATATTTAACAATTATTCCTTGAGCCCGAATGGGCTCTGCGTCAATATCCCATTAGGCCGAAGGCCGACTGGGCTATTGACTCAGAGGCCATGAGGGCGAGAGGAATAATTGTTTTAGTAAAATCCAACTAGTTGGTCAAAAATATCGAGACAAAACAACTTTAGCTTGCAAAACTCCATTCAGCCGCCATTGTTTTGGGTTTCAACGCCGGCGCTTTTCGCGACTAGTGGACTATAACATATAGCCTAGTGGTAGCTTAACCAATCAGAACGCAGCATTGATAATAGACCACTAGTTGGATTTTACTAAACACAGTAAGTTATCTCAACTGTATCATTTAAAAAAGGAAAACGNACTGGGCTATTGACTCAGAGGCCATGAGGGCGAGAGGAATAATTGTTTTAGTAAAATCCAACTAGTTGGTCAAAAATATCGAGACAAAACAACTTTAGCTTGCAAAACTCCATTCAGCCGCCATTGTTTTGGGTTTCAACGCCGGCGCTTTTCGCGACTAGTGGACTATAACATATAGCCTAGTGGTAGCTTAACCAATCAGAACGCAGCATTGATAATAGACCACTAGTTGGATTTTACTAAACACAGTAAGTTATCTCAACTGTATCATTTAAAAAAGGAAAACGTTAAATGTTGATTTGACTGACTGCCCAATTCATACTTGAAAAATTTGCACGTAGCGCTCAACAGTACAAGCTCGAGAAAAATTTTTTTTTACTTGCTGACATGTACGATTTTCTTAGCGTTTAAGCTAATCACATTTTTTTGTCCTCAGGATCACGCATTATCCGTTCGGTAAAGAATGGATAAGCCTGGTCTTCGCTAGCGACACAAGCGTAAGGGCAAGCACCAGCGCAATCATACGTCAGAGTGTTTATTTCAACACGGGCATAAAAACGGCCTGAACGTGTTAGCGCAAGGAAAAACATAAGGATCAAATGCTTTTTTTTTTCAATTAAATTAGTATTGTGCCAAGATCGTGAAAATTTGTGGAAAAATGCGCGTTGGCTATGCTAACCAGGGCGGATAAAGGTTGGGCGATGAAACGAGCGCGTGTGCGCAAAAAGGTGTGTTGCAGTAGACTGGGACTCCGCTTGGAAATGTCACCTGTTTTCGACTTTGGTTAGGCCTTGCGATGTGGTTTGTCCACTAGCAAAGCTGTCACTGAATTATGACGGCTTGAGTTGTTTTCTCGCACTTCTTTTCCGTTATTTGAGCTGGATTTGCGACGTTTTGCGCGAGTCGTCATAACGCGTAGCAACCGAGAGGGAAAGTTTGAAGTATTACAATGCCACCATCTCCATATATCTCCAGCTAATTTTTTGTTATGTTGTGTAAAATTTACCCTCCTTTAATAATATATGTAAGAATTACGGTGGAGTAATTTGGAGCTTTTGCAAACGAAACGGCGAAAGACGATTAGGTCGTATTTAGCAGCAAGAGGAAGCATTTAACAGTTTCAAATTGAACTCAAATTTTGACATTATACGGCTTACAAGCTTGAGTTATACGCACACAGACGAAAACATAAGAAACTGTAGGCTGAAATTTAGGCTTTTGTACATTATGCTTTTGCTTCCCTACTAAAATGCTCCAACTTAATGCTCCATTTTTCCCACTAAAATGCTCGAGCTCATGGGGCACGGGCTCCTGAAAAAAGTTAATTTCTACTTTATTTTCTCGAAAAAAATAATTTTTCGGGGAAAATGCCAATAAAATGCTCGAATAATGCTCAATGCTTTTGCCTCACTAAAATGCTCGAAAAAATGCTAGCATAATGTAGAAAAGCCTACTGAAATTGCAGACCCTTTACAAGCCCTGATCTGAAGCGCGGCCGGTGAGTCAGCAAATCCAGATAGCAGTCAGGATGGGCCTTGAACTCAGGGCCTCCAGTTAGCAAGGTCAGCGCTTTGACCTCTCTGCACGCTGCCCTGATTGTTCAGTTTTTAGGCTCCCTGCACGCTGAAGCCTTTGTAATGTCATTTTGTGGTTTGTTGCAGGAGGTTGGCTGTGTGGCGACCACATGGGACATGTATGACACGTATAATTCTCAGGAGGACAGCCATGAAGGTACAATAACACTAGTAGTACGGCACAAGTCGGTTTTCTAGTTTTTACTTTAGCTTTTTGTGAAGCTGACACCACTTATGTTGTTTTTTTTTAATTTTCAAAGGAGGCGAAAAAGAAGATGGAGATGATCATTTGGAGAGTCTCAGTCGACCTGTGAGTGGGGAAAGAACAAGCAGCCATGATGATAGCGAGAGTGTCGGTTCCGGAGCTGTCAGACCTTCTAGTGCAGCATCTGGCCGCAGTTTTACGGGTAAACTTTAATAAATCCTTTATCCCAAGTGATAAAGATTCACCAATATGTAGTGTAAATATGCTTTGTGATCAGTTAGAATAACTATGATTATCATGAATCCAAATACCCTCTAGACTCATGTACTCAAGCCTAATAATGGCTTCATGAGGTCGCTGGAATGCCAGGACATGATATCATTATTTTTTACTTGTTTATGGATCTCAAAATCATTACTTATAATAACACTGTAATAGAACACTACTTCTACTACTGCTACTACCACTACCACTACCACTTCCACTACCACTACCACTATCACTACCATTACCACTACCACTACCACTACCACTACCACTACCACTACCACTACCACTACCACTACCACTACCACTACCACTACCACTACCACCACCACCACCACCTCCACCACTACCACTTCCACTACTACCACTACTACCACTACTATCAATAATGATAATGATAGTTGGTTCCTTTTTGTAATCTGTTAGGAAGCCGAGCCAGTATGTTCACATTTAAAAGTAGTTCAGTTGAAGAAGAGACCCCTGAAAAACCAGAAGATGGCATCACTGACAAGGAAATGGAAGATCTTGCTTCCATCTTGGCTGAGAAAATACTTCAGGTAAAACAACTACTACTCCAGTATTTATCAATTCTCCCTGCTTTATTTACATTCATGTTTGTGAAACGTTTAGTTTCTGCTCCAAATGAGATGATATTTTAATACTTGCCAATTAAAATTGGCAATTATTCACGAACCACATTTGAGGTTTAGGTATATACCAGTCCCCAAAGTTAATAGTTTTGTTAAGGAGGAACATTCGAAAAGCCTTTTCCAAAGGTAAAATCTTCGTGGCCGCCCTCGTTTCTCGTGTCTCTCTCGCGGCTTCGACGCTCGGGCGCGCGCGTGCACTCCCCTCACTAAATCTTAAGAAAAAGGGAGACTACTCGCAGTCTACGATTAACAAGATGCCTCGGACATCGTGATTTCAAAGAACCCTGAATATTTAAAATTCTGAGAGTTACCTGTAACGCATGATGTAAATGTAAGTTCTAAGTTCGACAGGTTCAAAATACGCAAAACAACTTTTACTTTTCAAATCCACATCAATTCATTCTACGGATCGAAGCTTGATACTGAATTACTTTTTGTTGTTCGCCACTCTCCCCCTCCTTTTTCCCTTTGTTGTTCCGGAGTGTTTGTCTTCGAAATTGAGGCTGTTGCTGTTGTTATTATTTTGCTATTTTACTAAAGCAAAGTGCAGGATATTTACCTCAGTTTCAGATTGAGCATAAACTATGCTTGACAGTAAATACAGTTAAACCGCGCTTTACGGACACCCACTTAATACGGACACGTCACGGACAGTTTGCTTTGTTCCTGGGGAGAGAAAGCTCTTACATTTTCTCTAAATTCAACCCGCTTAGTACGGAAACCCGGTTAATAAGGACACTTTCTATGGCCCCCTGAGTGTCGGGATTATACCGCGTTTGACTGTAACTGCGTTCCGTAGCTTAAAGATCTTTTTAAAATAACTGTTTTCAAAGTTATGTGGTGCTTATCTTGACTAGTCAGAAAACATGCAAAAGGATCTTTTTACAATGGAGAGAGCGATCGCCTTGAATATCTATCAATCAAGACAGGCCAGATACAGAGGACTAGATATAGTAACAGGTAATCACATGTTGATTTGCTAGACTCATCTTGTGCATAATTGTCCCAAGCTCTTGTGCGTTTTATCTGGATGCCTTTTCTATTGACCTAGCATGATTACACAGGGATCTCACAAACTGTTTGGTTACAGCAAAAAGTATTTAGGGATGGTTACTCGTCAAAATCTTCAATTGTTCTGATAAATATACAAATCTAAATCTCACCGTCGTATAAAACTTGTGCTTACCCTTGGAACTTTTTAACAGCCCGTTTACAGCTTATTATTTGCATCCTTTACAAACTTTTTTTTTGCTTGTAACCGTGCCACCCTCCAATTCCAGTGCCCTCAGTCATATAAATTCTTTAACCGTTTGTAGTGCGATTGGTGCATTTAGTGGCTCCGGATCCCCCCGGACCCCCCTGGATCCGCCACTGGGATTTATAAGTTAGGTTAACTAAGGTTTACCTGCTTTAATGATTTCTTTCTTTCCCCGTATGGTATATTTTTTTTTTTACTTTTTCACTGGAAGCCACAATAAGTACTTTCCTCATTGGCGCAGCGCAATTTTTTTTGTCATCTTTATTATTGTATTCTGAGATAAAGTTGAAGTTGACCAAGAGTGCTTGTTTTGATCAGACATCGATGCAGAAAAATCAGAAGGCGAGGAAGTAACATCTGCCGCAGTTACTTTGGCACAACTGGGTCCCAATCTACACAAGCTTTGGAGCTACTCCTGTAACCTTACAAAGGGACGCAATGTCAGTTGTCTAGCTTGGAACAAACTTAATCCTGTAAGTTAACAAACGGGTACAAAACATCACCCTTGGAAGTTTTATCGACACGGAATTTAATAACATTAATTGATCCCCCCTAACGTGTGTGAACATATTGCTTTGTGGCCAGATAACACGCGTGCGCTAACAGAAAACCTTGCATATTTTGGGCACAGGTTGTATTTCTTAGTAGTTTCTCGACTCTGGGTCGCAATTGAATGGATAGTGTTCTGAAAGCGCTCGACAAAACAACTTGTACTCAAAATTTCAGTAATTTCTCAATAATCGTCGATTCATGGTACTTGACTCAAACAGGCTGGCTGACTGGTGTTGATTTCATTTCACCGTGTGTTTTGTAGAGAATTAATTTGATGTGAGAAAGATTTATAGTCACGTTTACGACTAAGGGCAAACGTGAGTTTGTACCACATGGCCAAGTTTCCCTTTACTTTTTCTTTTACTGTTACTGCCGTTACTTCTACAAAAGAAAAATCGTTGTTTCACGCCAGTTTTGTCCATAAGAATTGTTTTGGAAAGTTTTAATCTGGTTATTTTCAACTTTGAGAAATTTTTTAACTTGAATCTGACGTTTACTGTAAGCGTGACCCCAAATCTCCCTATCATTGCTGCTTTGTATATACCAGGATATACTTGCTGTGGGTTATGGAGAGTTTGTGTTCTCTGAACAGAAGGGCGGCTTAGCCTGCTGTTGGTCCATCAAAAATCCGGAGGTAATGTTTATTTTCACTGTTTGTTAGCAGTAAGTCTTCTTGAAGGCATAGTTCTAATCTATTTTGTATTTGTTGTGGTTCAATTTTATCCTTGGTTTAACTTTTCTTTCCTTTGTTTTGGGGTATGGTAATGTATGTTAATGAGTTTGAAACAAAGGGAAATAATATTTAAACAAAGAATGAAATTGAACCATAACATAATTATGCATTAGAGACCTTTAAATTCGAACACGAAGATTTGACTGAAAGGTTTTTTTTTCGCGTATCCTAAAAATACCCTCTGGAAAACGTCGTTTTTTTTAAAACTAGAAACGTTACCAAGGAATTGAAGGAAGTTAAGCCCTGTCCCGATCACAATAAAATTTCTTTCATTTAATAACTTGTTTCCGTCACTAGGACATTTTCGCTAAAACCCGTAGAAAAAAAACGACGGCTGTCGCGTTTTTCCGATTGAGAAAATCTCGTTGTCGTAGTCGTCTTTGTCCCCTTCACGGGTTGTTCGCTTTTTTCTTTCTCTTATTTTTCTTTTTACTTTCTTTCAGTATCCTGAGCGAGTTTTTCACCTCAATAGTGGAGTAACTGCTGTGGATTTTTCAGCTGCCCATGCAAATCTTTTAGCCGTAAGTAAAATGCGTTACACCTTCTTCATGAGGCATGCAATTGAAATCATCAAAAGCAGTGCATAACTGGGGCCAGGACAACACCTTCTTCCAATTTTCTTCATAAAAATAAGCTGGATTTTTGAAAACGTTTCCGCCAAATGAACCTCTTCCGTTAAGCATTTTTTTCGGCCAAAAACTCCAAAGTAGTCAATGTAGAAACTAAGAGTGCAACCATGGGTTTTTATCGCCTCCTCCTTTCTCTCTCCTTCACTTGCTTTTTTTTCCTTTTCTTTTCTTTCGTTAGAGTGAGTTTCGGCCTTATGGGACTCAAAAGCCTGCTTTTTAGCCAAGTTTCACTCAAATGGCTACAAATTTCGTGAGGTTCGCGTTTTCAAAAATCAGGCTAGAAATTAAAGAACTTATCTAGTGAAAATAGTTTTTTTCTCTGGATCTTTTGAATAGGAAAATCATAAAAAAATCTTTAAGGGAACGGAACTTAATACTGATTTCGATTTGTTTTACTCTGGAAAGTGCACAAGCCTTAAGGTGTATCTGAACAAGTGTTTCCTTCAGCTAATACAAACATTGCCTTCTCAAACATAACAGCATTTGATAAAGAGGGTAACCATATTTTTCCCTAGTGAGCTCATGGAAGTCTGTATGTGTTCGAACGGGTTTTTACTGATTCAGCGGCTTTTGAGATTTTGAAGGTTTTGGCTTGAAATAGGTAAGTCAAGTAAACAACTTGAACGACAACAGGTAAAGAAACTCCTTGTCGCCAATTAACGCGTTTCTCAGTCGTTTTATGGCTCTACTGAAGTGAGTAGTTTAAGGATATCCCATGCTCGTACCCAAAAGGAACTGTCTAAATAGCTTTGCCAAACCATAGCATTTGTTTTTGGCCAGGTTTTCTTGTACATCGCAGAGTGAGGAGTTTCGTTTCTCCGTCTCTTTAGGTAGGCATGTATGACGGTACAATTGCAATCTACAATGTGCGAAGCAGGAATGATGGACCCGCCTTAGACAGTTTGTAAGTAAACCATCAAATCCCAGACTGCTTTGCCTTTTTACTGTTTACGTCACGACCACTATCGTAGTCGTAACTGGAAAAACGTCAGTGATATTTGTGGACAGAGGACCGTCAGTACAGTTGCTACTTTAGTGGAAAAGAAAATAGGCAGATGGATAAAATCAATCACATAAACACTGTATAAATGGTACAAGATTTATCCTGCTTTTTTAGTTGCACTGGAAATACTTCTTAGACGTGGTAGTACAGAGTTAATGTCGTTTACATAGACTTAATAGCCTTTTCTAAGCGTTTAGATAGTGAAGCGCCGGCGAAAAAAAAAAGCGAGGGAAAAAAACGAGGGAAGATTGGGGAGAGCGTTGAAGGAGCAAAAAGCTGTTCCGGTATAGCAGATTGTGTTTTACCCTCTGATTGGTCGATTAAAACTTTAAAACCCTTTTTTGGTGGAATCGGGAAGGAAGGGAGCGGAAGGTTACAACATCATTACAAATAGTACTTGTTTCTTAAAAGTCCTTAGTAATTCAGAAATATTATAAACTAGTATTTTATTTGTGGAAATCAATGTTTCTTTATTCTCCATATTCTGATTGACAACTGGAGGTCGTTCTCCATTCCCCCAGTCCCTTTTTTGGGTGTGTTTCTTGTTCGCTCGATTTTTGGCTCACGCTTTACCATCTGGACACCTGGAAAAGGCTCAGTATAGACTTATCGATGTGTAGGTTAACAGTATCTGTAGTAACTAGTCATTGATAGTGTGTAATCGTTCGTTGTAGTGAAAGCCAAGGTAAACACTCATCACCCGTCTGGCA